TGCACCCAGGAAAAAAAAAAACCATAGTACAGGTTTGTGTGACGTATTTTTGATAAAGTTATGACTACTCACAAGTTGAATAGTTTTACTAGTATTATGCAGTAAAAATAAAATGGAAAAAAAAAGTTTATGGGAAATTTTTCTTATTGGTACCACGGATGGAATGGAATTTTTTTCATCCTGATGCTGAAAATCGTGCTCGTTGCACACCCCTCTAAATTATGACCCCTGATGTTAGCTAGCTAGTATTATTTCTTTTTTCATGTTGCTTCGTGCGAAAGTTTTGCTAGTTGTACCAACCTTTATAGCATGGGATTTCAAATAAACTTCTGTAGGGTGAAATATTTAAATCAATATTTTTCAGTTTTTAGTCATATCATTTTCAATAGTAAAAAGTGTGTCAATTCTATCTCGCACAGCCTCTCCGTGCACCATGAAGTTATCTTTTCTTCAAGAAGCTTGAATTTGTCAAAGAGAGCAGCTTTAACAAGAAATTGAAATCAGTTCGGAACAGAATAAAGAAGCCTGTGTCACTCCCTTACGATCAACGGGATACTTATTGGTATCAAAATATCAATACTATCAAAATACCTTTTAAAGTGCCTGCGTCCCAACGAACCAGAGGGGCATTTTAATGAGGTTCGCTATATGATAAACTAACTACCAGCAAAGTACCAGTACGTGGTAAGTCTTATCAAAAAATAAAGGGTCAATAATTGTTTATCAGTAGGACATGAAAAAACTTTATTATTGCGCTATTTAAGTTTATCATGAGGGACCATGCTGCCACTAGAACATCAAACCAAGTTCTGACCATTCAAATCGAATTTTCTATTTAAATGTCATTGTCTTAAATGGAAAGGTATTTTCATATTGATAAGAAAAAATGGCCCTCTTCAACTAAATACCACAAGTACGTCATGTACTTTCAATCAATATGATCTACATACTTGTATACGTTTATAATAGATCTGTTAAACAAAAAAAGAAGCAGTCGAATCGCCCAAATATTGAGCTTATTTCGACGAAAGAGGTGCATAGTGACCTATTATTGTGGAACGGAGGTAGTATATATCATCTATTGCCGATTATTTTAAAAATATCTTTCATTGAATACTAATTCGGCAAGCAAGGCACTGAATTGGCTAGTACGACGGTGCACTCCTGGGGTTTGTTTTTCCTTTTTCCTTCTTTAGGTTCCATAAGGGTTCGTTCCCCTTTTGGCGCAACATCTCCAGTTGATTCCACATCGGTGAGAATTGTACAGTCCGAATCTATCTCCGATTCGAATCGAAATCTTTCCGGTTGCATCGTTTTTCATTGAGCAATTCATATCTCCTAAAATAACTATATTTGAAAACCAAAGATGGAAGCCGACAATGATAAGGACGACCCCTCGGTTGAAACAACAACTAGGAGCCAAGACGAACAGCAGCTAGATCATGAACTGAAAGATGTTGAAGGAAACAAAAACATAATGCCACGGTCAAAGGACATAATTTCTGGTAACTACGGACACAGGAAACTCGCGCCCGAAAACCATGGAAGTATATTCTGGGATTGTTTCGTCCGCTCCTTGTCTCCTCTCCACGCGGGAGGCCAGTTGACGAAGTACGAGAAAAGCTTACTCGCTGATATGATGATGGCGTGTGTTAAAAAAATGGGAATGCGTTTCGTAAAAAGAATAAGAGACGAATCGCAGAGCACAGGGAAGGAAAAATTGCAGAGTCAGGAAGGTCATAGAAGCGTTTGGTGTGAGTTAAGAACTTTTAACGCGAGATCCAAGACCTTGAACGACCTTCGTCGTTACCCAGATTATAAATGGAAAACGCTACATTTAGAAAGAGGGGATAGCTCCAACATTGTAGCCTCCGCCAAAGCTACAGCTTCAATTGTTGCTGAAACGATACTCTCAAGCAAAGCAAAACGAATAAACGAAGCAATATCCGTCCATGAAAAGAAAGACTTCAGGAAAAGCGTTTTGGACCTTGATGAGAAGAAGGAATATTATCAATACCGTTTCGCTATGAATGCGGTGGAAAAACACATACCAGAAAACGGGATTTTTGATGCCTTCGACGAGAAGAGCAATCTTAGGAGTAACAACTGTACCAATTACGTTCGTGCAGAGAGCGACAATGAAACAGATATCTTTGTCGCTCCTGGTATCGCTACTGACATGGTTCTCGGACAGTCGCTCATAATGACGCAAGATCATCGCTGTCAACAGCGTTGGCTTCGGGAAGAACACGCCAAAGCTAGGAGAGAAAAGTTGCAACACGACAACGATCTCTACTGCGCACTCTTTAAAAATGTTTTCGCTGTTCCAAACCAGGAGTTGAAACCCTATTGGTGTCGGGATGCGTGACGCCTTAAAATTTCCTAATCGAACTCCAACGCGCTGTAACACTGGAAGTTTTTTGGCAGCATTCCTTGACCATCGGATTCTTGTTCTCTTTCCCCTACTGTATCTCTCAACTAGAAAGTGTACCAAACACGCGGAACTACTAGGAGATTCATCAACCGCTAGCCTCTCAATAAACGTTAATATACCGTATCTACTTTAGAGGATTAAATCATGCCTGCCTGGTTTCCTGCTCGTCCTAAGACTATTTGAATGGAAACGGACCATCAACTCCCACCACATGCGAGTTCTGACTTTGTGCGACGAAGTTTTTTTGTAATATAATTTGAACGAATCGATTGCTTTCTCAGCGCAAAACAGACTGCTAGCTGCCCAGGCGCGGTGCCATCGCAGCAAAAGCATGTCGTGAAATTGTTCTTCCTCGGTGTGATTCTCGGTGTAACGATSCACCCACAAAGCGGGTGTGCGCTGGTGTGCATCGTTGCCATTTCCGTCGACAGAGTCCAACGCAACCCGAGCCGAACAAAACGAGATCCAGCACCGGTGGCAATGGTCAAGGGGCAGTGGCAGTGAAACGGTACGCATGCGCATGAGTCGAGTCGAGTCGAGTCGGCTCTTTTGGTCTGGGTGTTGGGCGGTGCTTGCACGTGGATGAAACGCAGCTCAAAAGCAATGCATACAGTGCGATGCATGCATCCATTGGTGCCTAAGTCCTTCGGTCGGGCCACGAACGAGCTGCTCGCCTTCCATCCGTTTCATGCGTCCACTCCCCAAATTGATTCCTCTCGTTTTGCTCGCTCCCCTCTGGAACATATTTGGTAGACACCGCTTCGACACCAAGTGCTTTGTTCTGCCTGTCATTTTCACTGGCAAAAGTCCGGATCGGTTGCGATCAAAAGCATCGCATCAAACTCCCTTGCTGCCTAGATCCTATTTGTGACTTGCCGCCACGCGTCAAGGCTTGGCTTGGATTGGCTTGGATTCGATTGGATTCGCAACGATTGGATAAACTTTCTCGATGGTTTCGGTCCGCCCGTCCCAAGCCTGCTGCTTTACAGCTTTTTGGAGTAGCACAGGAGGGCCACCCCGTCGACCATTCGGATGGCCGTGAACCGCTCCAGTTCCTTCCCCGCGACCCCGGCCCAGGCGTATTCGCCGCCATCGCCGTCGCTGCGAGCGCCATTTGGATTCTTCTGGGTGCTTCCCACGACGGCCTCGTAACCCATTCCCTCGTAGAGGGACTGGGGGATCCGGCCGCTGGAAATGTCCGCATCGGCGTGCAGGTAGACCGACGAGCAGCCCCAGGAGTGTTTCGCGATCCCCTCGCAGGCCGCGACCAGCAGCTTGGAATAGCCCCGGCCCCGGCGGTCGTCGTCGACCAGGAGGTTGGTGATCCATCCCTGGAGACGCCCGTCGATCGTGGTCTGCCTGGCCAGGGCGGCCTTGAACCACCTGGGAAGGGGGAGGGCGGGGGGATTCCGGTCCGCGTCCGGGGGCTGCAGGCTGAGCTCGATCATGCCCACGACCCGCTGTTGAGGCGAGAGGGGCGAGAGGGGCTGCGACTGGGTTGCTTCCACGGTGGTGGCTGTTGTTGCTGCTGCTATTGCTGCTGCCGGCTTGGGCTTTCGCCACAGGCTCTTGGACTGTTCTTGTGGTTTGGGTTCGTTTTCTTCGCAGAGGACGAGCATGACCATGTCGTTCGGTATCGACCCGGGGTTTCCGCTGTTGGCAACGGGATTGCCGTTGCTGCCGCTGCTGTTGCCGCTGCTGATGCCGCTGTTTTTGCCGCTGTTTCCCCCACCCTGCATCAGCTTGAGACGGAGGGTCAAATAGATTAGGAGCTCGAAGGATTTCCCCTCCCACAGCTCCGGGATTCGTTTCGGATCCTGTATCCAGCGGGGGACCAGTCCCCGCAATCCCTTCTTGGCGTGGGTGTCTTCCGGCGGTGGCTGCTGGCTGATGCTCCCAAACTCGTTGATGCACATGGGTACCAGTGCCCGGAGGTCCTCGGTCGTCATGTAGCGGAGGACCAGGGACGGCGAATCCGTGCCGGCGGATGGTTCCTTCGGAGAAGAAGAGCCGGTCAGCCGGATCGGTTTGGGGAAGGATATCCCGGGGGAGCGCAGCTCGTCCAGGAGGTCGCTGGACGGCTTCGCCCGTTTCGCGGGCTTTTGGACGAGGTTTCCGTTTTCGTCCCTCTGGTTGAAAAAAAGGTGCAGGCGCGTCCGGGCCAGCCTGTTTTGGTGGATGCGGCTCCCGGGGAACCCCTGTCGACAGGAACCCAAGAGTGGCGGTGATGGCTGTTGTTGCTCTTTTGCTTGTTCCCGGGGATGTCCCCCCCTCTCGGAACGGCCGCTGCTCCGTAGCGCGGCGGCCGGGGGGAGACCCGTCCCCGAAACGGCAAGGGCTTCCGCCGCAGAAAAGGGGACGCCCGGCAAGGTCCACCCGCCGGCAATCGCGATCGCCACCACGATCGCCCCGGCGAATCCCAGCGCGCCGTTGCTCCTTCGGTTTCTGGTGCGCTGCCGCCGCACACGAGAAGGATTCGGAAGGCCGAAACCGTCGTTGTTGTCGCTGCCACCGTCGTTCGTTGCGATGCGAGTCCGGCGTCGGATCGTTCCTCCTGCTTGCGCAGCAGTCCTCATTGTGTGCGATGCGGTTGGTTTGGGATCCTGGTCTATTCTTCAATCGGAGCGAATTGCCTCTCCGTGCTTTGGGAACTTTTTGTGTTTACAGATCCGGATGCGGATGCTGATGGCAGAAGCAGTCAGTACAGCAGAATGTTACAGTACGAGTACCACGAGTACGAATACTTGACAAAGAATAGAATACGACCCGACACGGAAACGAAGAGAATTTAACAGAATGTTTCGGCTGCTTGTAAAAGAAACACGCAAGATAGCGGTTCAACAAGATTTACCGTACGGACTGGTACAAAATAAAGCGTTTCAAAAACCAAAAACTATTCCTATCGGCACGAGTTTCTACTAGCGGTACCATACCAACGGGTACGAGTATCGTAAGTACAAGTACTCGTACTTTTGTGGAGGAGCGAGGCGGCTGTCAGCAGTCGATCGAATCGAATGAGTCGAATTGATTGATTCGAGAACTAAATAATTTACTTGGTGCACCTTAGTAAAAATAGTACCTCATATAACGTACGTGCATGGTAGTGCGGTATCCAACGTACCAGTACTCGGTCCGGTATGGGCTTTATTTATCATCACTTCATAGAAATAGGTGCTTCTATTTCACATCCTGTGGGCGAGGCACCTAGAGGCAGGGGGGTCTAAATCTATCTTATGACTGACCCCCTGTGCAGAGAAACCTGGCATGATCAGTAGAGTTTCCAGCTAGATGCAGTTCGTACCGTACACTACGGTACTCGAACGGTGGACTAGCTACTCCGTACAGAATTCAACGAAAAATCGTATCCATCGACGAAATCATTCTTATCGCATTGAATCGCATTTATTGACTGCCATCGTCTGGTATCACACGATACCCTTCCACAACACAGCGATAAGTTTGAAATCTTCCTGTACTGTATATCTCAAAAGCACAGCCGAAAGGGTCACAGCAAAACACGGAAGATCGAAGTAAAACGGGGAGAAGGAAAGTTAACCGAAGCACATAATCACAAGTCAAGAAGGGTATCATTGTACGCAGGGGGGGATCAAGCAACCAACACCGGACCCGAAACATACCGTACAGTAGCTTTGGGCTATCTGCTTTTGCTCCTGTGAACTTTTTAAATTCCATTTATCGAGAGCAATAGCAACTCCTGTCACAACCAATAACATACCACACCAAACAAAACGACATTCTTGATTGCCGGCCACAATGTCCAGCAGCGAAAAAGCCGATGGCGGCTGGAGCATCTCCGCAACGGGGAAACGAGCGGCGAGCTTCATCAGCGGATTGTTCTTTGGGGCGCCCGGTGGGAAGGACGGCGACGAAAACCCGCAGCCTAGCAACAAGAGGCGCAAGACGACGACCACCACCAGCAGCGCGGAAATGGACCTGGTCCTGGAAACCGTCCGGGAGCACACCGCCAGGGCCGAGGCGCGGGAGAAGGCCGCCGCGGCCCGGGCCGAAACGATCGAGGCCCTGCTGGAGGCCGTCCTGGAGCGTCTAGAGCAGCGCAAAAGGCCGGCGGCCCGCGAAACCTTCTCGACCCCCCGCAAGCCGGCCAGGCCGCTGCCGCTGAACCCCAATCCCCCGTCCGCCTCCGGGCAGAAGCTCTGGACGCAGCAGGAGCGGTCCATCGTGGTAAAGGGGCTTGCGGCGTACGGGATGGGTTCCGCCAAGCGGGTGGCGGAGCTCCTGAAGCACCGGAACTACAGCCAAACGAGGGGCTTTATGCGGAGGAACGCCGATTCGATCCGGAGGGAGATCGAGGCCACCACCGGGTACGCCACCACCGAGGCCGAAAAGCAGGAGATCCTGGATTCCATTGCTGCCGAGAACGAGGAAGACGGCGAGGACGACAACAGCAACGACGACGACGACGACGACGACGACGATAGCAACGAGGAGGCGTCCGGGGGGGGTGACGACGAGAGCGAGAGCGCAAAGCCAGCGATGCCGCCGAAGCGCAACACGGGTTCGTGGTCGGTCGAGGAGCAGGAGGCTGCCGCCAGGGGCCTCGTGATCCACGGGACGACAAACACAAAGGCGATCGCGCAGATGGTCGGAACCCGCAACACCGATCAGGTCCGCCGCTACATCGGTCGCCACTACCACAAGCTCCTTGCGATGGGAACGAATTCCGAGGAATCGTCGTCCGACAGCTCCTGAGCCGCGATGAGAACGAGACGAGACGAGGGAACCGAGCGAGGGAACCAATCGCGAAAGCAATCGCACGGTTTCTTGCTTGTGCAAGCTAAGTATGTGTAAGGATTTTGGAGTGCGACTGTGCACGATGGGAAATTTCGAAACCGATGAAAAAAAAATCTCGGATGTCCGGATGGAAGCAAAGAAACGAACGAACTAGCTATGCCTAAACAGATGCAAAAATCGGTAGAGCCTAGATTGTAATTTGATTCCAATTTGAATGGATTAGGGTAAAATAGGAGGCAAATAGATGAAATCTAGTAAGGTTGGATGAGAAGGGGTGGGATTGGATTGGAGTGGGATGAACACGAAACCAACTAACTAAAAGCGACATAATGAGAGGCAGCCTCAGATTTACCATCGGTTCGAAGAGAAAGAAATGTTTGTCGAAAACTGCCTTGCCTACGAGTGTTTTCAGTGTGCCTGTGTATGTATGTCTTGTAATGGAAAAGAGAATGCCTTTTATGTCGTTCAGTTTGTTGGTTCTGTTGAAGTACTAGCAGTATCTTTCTTTTCTTCTCTCGTGTAATACATTGAACGAAGAAATATTAATACATGTAATGTACTTCTTACTTCCAACGATTGTCATAATTTTGTTCTGTAGCTAAAGAAAGCATGGGTTCCTAGCCCGATCTCGTTCATCGACCGAATTTCACGGGTGTAGGACGGACCGAATGAAAAATATCTAAATTCTGATAGCGAGGCGGGGGCATCCCCTTTTCAGTCACGCAAACATCAAGCTCATCCCCCCGAGCTTCGGCCAGCACGTCCATTTCACTGCACACAATACATACACCATATCGGTACCTGGTACCGTAGCATCTTCCTTCCCACAACAGCAGAGCAGAGTGCGTAGCAGTGAACCAAACAATGGCACACCGGAGACGAGGAGTCGGTGTCGGACGAACAAGGGCCGGAGCCTCCCGCCCCGGGGGATCGGTTCCCGCCTCGGGGCAGCGCAGGACATCGTCGGCGGCTATGCCGTCGTCGCAGATGCAAATACAAATGCCACAGACCCAAGACGACCGGTTGCAGAAAAAGGCCGACGAGATGCACGCCCTGTCGATGCAGAGCGCCCTGGACACGGTGGAGAAGCTCCAGGTCAAGCTCGCCGACTTTGCCAAGAAGCACCAGTCGGACATCCAGGACGATCCCGCCTTTCGGCAGCAGTTCCTGCAGATGTGCGCCCCCCTCGGGGTCGATCCCCTGGTCTCCCAGAAGGGCTTTTGGGCCAAGACGCTGGGGGTCGGGATCGGGGACTTCTACTACGAGCTGGCCGTCAAGGTGGCAGAGGTTTGCTTCTCGACGCGGTCCAAAAACGGGGGGATCATGGCGCTGGCGGAGGTTTGCGACACCCTGAATCGCAACAAGGCCCGGCGGAGCAGCAGCAGCAGCAAGCGAAAGTCCGGAAAGAAAGACCAGCTCTACAGCAAGGGCGATATTGCCGTGGCCGTCAAGAAACTGGCCACGCTCGGGGGTGGATTTCGCATCGTCACGGTCGGAACGTCGGACATGATCGTCAGCGTCCCGACCGAGCTCGACCAGGACCACGTCGAGATCATGGCCCTGGCCCAGGACGGCGAGGGCTGCGTGGCGGTCGAGAACGTGACCCGGCAGCTCCGCTGGAACGAGGACCGCGTCGAGCGCGCCCTGGCGCTCCTGCTGCAGGAAGGCATGGTTTGGAAGGACGATTACCACGGGATCTCCTTCTATTGGTTTCCCAGTGTGTGGAAGGAGAAGATGGCCATCGAGGCGGGGGCGCAATAAAGGGTACGACAACTTTTAGATCACGACGAAACAGAAGGAGTGATTCGTCAAGAATGAAAAAAGGTTCATGCAGTTCCGATGGAAAGACATTTGCAACCGTGAAGATTGTTTGTGGTGTAACGCTTTAGAAATAACCCACCAAACCATGTCTCCGGCTGCCATGGCACGTGTTGAATTTCAGGTGAAGTTTTCGGATGCAGATCAGAACAAATTATTCGCCATCACCATGTGTAACGTATCTGATGGAACACGCACCATCCCCAAATCATCCTACCCACACTGCCTTTCGCGTCGTCTTCCCGTGGGATATAACATGATAATAATGCATTTCGGTTGAGACAACGAGCGGCACCGAAATTAGGTTGCTTGGATCTAATGAAGATACAGAAGATGTTGTAATACAACCAGCAAACGAATCGAAGAGACTTGCAAGGCTCCCGAACTATCACAAAAACTGAGCTTTAAAACAGAGTAGCCGTCTTCAATGAAAAATTGCAAAACTCGATTAGGAGCACGTTTTTATATAGACGGTGAGAAGTACTATATCAAAGTGCTATGGTTGTTGTAGTAACAAATTATTGTTTGATAATACGCTAAACTTCATACCATCTACAACATTCGTTACAGCAAGCCACAATAAGACAGTTTCTTCATGGATTCATTGTCAAGGGGTCATCTGAAGATGGAATTCAATATTCCTCAACTGACAGTGGGTTGATTTGTAGTATCGTTGAGGACATAAAGCAAGGAGAGCCAGAGAAGCCTACTGCATCCTCCAACAGGCTTGAACTACCAATAAAAGTACAGAAAGGGAAGCCCACTGCGTCTCCAACAGGAAAACCTACTGAGTGTCCAACAGACAACTATCAACAGGAAAACCTACTGAGTGTCCAACAGACCACTATTAACAGGAAAACCTACTGCGTCTCCAACAGACAAATACCAACAGGGGGGTGCAGTACACCATATTTCACATGTAAACGAAGGGTGTCGAATCAACAGAGAACGTTCTTCGTGACAACGGATTTTTGAAATAATTGCTTGTCAACGGTTTCACCGTTGAACACTTTTTGTATCTTGTGCTATCTAAAAAGAAAAATTTAAATTCTTAACCCGCGCGTACCGGCAAGCAACCCACTACAAATAACCCATTAAAGAAAAGGCCTTTTTGAGGCTTGACTCCAAAAAGTTCCGAATTTTGTGTTCGAACAAACTCTTCCGAGAGAATACAGGCATGTTCTTTCTGAAAATTCCGAATGAAGGACGATGCATAAGAAAGCAAGGATCATGATCGAATTCAAAAGCACCAAACCACACCAAACGCACGATACACCGAACATTCCATACAAAGATAGATCAGAAGTTTCCAAAAAGATTAAATTAAACAAGATCGGGAGGGGGAAAATACTACGTGCATTCTTTTTCGCAACCGAACAAAGATCCTTGCGGGAAAATGGTGAAACGCGGACGATGGTTCTCCCCTCGAGGTGATCCCGTGTTCATTTTAGCAGAACGAGCGTCGAAAAAAATATCGATTGGCTCAATTAAAAAGCCCGAGAGACTAAATTTAGAAAAAGATCTGAGGAGGAGCCATGTCTCCCAAGATGTTCTCGTAGGAATCATCGACGGAAATAGAGAACGCCGAAGCGACGAAGCACCCGCCGGTCGCATCCCAGATGAAGCTCCAACACTTCAAGGATCCGAGCCGCAAATCAGAGACAATTCTTATATCTTTGAGTCGGAGGGAGCTGGAATATCGAACCTCGATCCTTGCGACGATGATGGGCACAACAGCGACACCAAAACACCGGGACCGGCGTCCTCGGTTTCGTCTCTAAGAAGGTGGTTGCAAGGTCGATCAACGTCGGCGTCGGTCGAAGGAATTTATTTTAAGCACGGCTTCGAACCTGCCTACCATACACTCGATGGGATGCGAAAGACGTTGTTTGATTGGGATTGGCAGCAGGAATCGAATGGATATCCACCGATCGAAGATAGTCACGTGGGTGCAACAACAAGCATACGAGAGTAAATTAGTTTGGAAGGGGTAGGCTATTTGTCGGTATTTATTTGCAGTGTATGGTAATGCAATTTAGTGACATGGGATACGGGACAATTTTGAAGCGTAGCCGTACCATGAGAAAATGCAATGGACAAGGTGTTGGTGCGACGAAGAACCGTCCTATCTGACAGGAGCGTACAGTCAAGGGGATATTTTTGTAACACAGTAAATATATTTTTATCTAGTATTTTTTAGCCCATTTTGAAACAAATCATATGCTCTTCCTGCCATCACAAAAGGAGGTTTTTGTTTAATTTTTGTCCAGCAGATGAGTGATTTGCAATAAACAGTTGGAACAAGAACAGCAACAGGAATAAAGAATGCATTTTATTACATCCTCCTGTCTTGTTTTTTTGTGCGAGATTTTTGTGGATTTTTTAATGACTAGGAAGTTTCAACTACAAGTCAACAGAATCTTGTGAGTTAGAATGGAAGTTAATGTCAGAAAAGGAGGGGGGGAGTTTTGTGATTGTTGTCAAAGTATTTCATAATCATTCTTGTTGCTTCCCTTGTTTACATCAATCTGGTGTGTATTTTATTCTTGTTGGTGCCTAATGAAGAGGTCACTGTGGTCTACTAGTAGGAAACTGGATCTACCTGCTGACTCCCTGGAGCACTTGCAATTTTGGTGCTGTACTACTACTATGAACTACTAGTAGAAGTGAAGAAGTGCCCGGTGTTCAGTTTTGTTTTAGATCGAATCATGTTGAAAGGGAAGTTCTACAGCTCATCATCAACAAGAATATTACTCCGGTTCAGGACTTCTGGATCTGGCCTTTGGCTATGCCACCACCAGATTTTTTGGGAAGACAGGGCTTATGCTCAGTAGGGCTGTGACCCCTGAAGCATCTATCTGAACTTATTATATGGCAAGCAAGATGACATAAATTTCCTATTGTAATCTACCCATTGTCTTTGCAGGTACTTTAACCGACTCAAACCAGTGGGGGGGGAGACTCCTGCTCCCTCTTGTTGTTGTCAAAAAAGAAGATTTCTATCACAATCCTTGAACTTGAAACAAAATCACCACCAGCACCACCAGTAGCAGGAAGAAGCAAGAAGAAGAATGAATAAAGAAGAACAACAAGAAGAAGCAGGAGTCCCCTGCCTTCTTGTTGTTGTTGTTGTTCTTGTTCTTGTTCTTGTTGTT